AACTGGCGCCCCCTAGATATAAGCCCTCTTAGACATTGTGCCACTTAAGCAAACTGACCCCCCCAACTGGCGCCCCCTAGATATAAGCCCTCTTAGACTTGTGCCACTGAAGCAAACTGGCCCCCACTACATGGCGCCCCCTAGGTTGTTCTCTCAGTCATTGTGCAACTGAAAAAAGAACTGACCCACACTGACGCCCCCTGGGTGGTCCTCTCTGTCATTGTGGCCCTTAAGCAAACTGACCCCCCACTGGCAACCCCTATGTAGTTTAGTTCTCTCAGTCATTGTGGCACTTAAGCAAACCGCCCCCCCCCCCAAACTGAAGCTCCTCTTAGATCTCAAGATAGTTCAAAACTCACCAGCCTTGACCGTGACGTTGCTGCTGACGATGGTTCCACCAGCATTCGACGCCAGGCATCGGTAGGAACGCTTGTGGACATCGGCCCTGAACCTCGGCACTTGGAAAGGATGGAAATACAGCGTGTTGTTGGCCAGGACCGTCACCAGGTCAGCGATGTTGTCTACGGCACTGCCATCCTCTTTAATCTGGAGGTCGGGGTGGGGGTGGGGGGTGGGGTGGGGGTGGGGTGAGAGCGGAGAGGAAGGTTAGAAGGGCGTGAGACGACCTTTCGAAGATGAAACATTTGTTGTTGTTGTTTTTTTTTTTTGTTTTTTAAGGGGGCTTTTTACTCCAAGAAGTGTCATGCTTTATTTGCGCACCAAGTCTTGCATTTGGATTTGCGCAGTGGTGCATTTGAACTGTGACGCACTCTCGGTGATCACTTCTATACACATGCAAAAAAATACGTAGTCAATAAACGTTTATTTACCGAGGCGGTCTGATTGTGTTTGTAAAAAAAAAAAACCTCTTTCATATTAACTTCGCTCTTGTTCGTGTGTTCCTGGCTGGGTGGTAGATAGATTGTTCGGTCGGCTAATTGACCCACTTCCCGTCTTTCCGAGCTGAAACTTGGCACATAGACTCGATGCCGATGACAACACCCTCTTTAAAATTTTCAGCCCCCCCCCCCATCCCAACCCGCGAAAAAATCAGTTTTTCATGTTTTTCTAGGGGATGATAGGAATGATGATGACCCAGATTTCACGAGGTAAAATTCCCGATAACTGCGCTAATTGAGTCTTCTTTTTTTTTTTTTATATCGCAAATGCGTTTGGTGCGTAATGTTTTCCATTGTTCTTCTGAAATAGTGAAATAAAGTGTAAAAGCGGGTGTGGGTGGGACATTAGTCCATTACAATATATTAATATAGCATGAAAAAAAAATCTGCTGTTGCGAGCCATGGGGGGGGGGGGGGGNGCATGTTTTGTCCAATGTTCAGCCCCTTATTCACCCCATGGGGGGGGGGGTAGGTAGGTGAGCACTTATTGGGATTCTTTTAAAGTGCGTTCCTTGTATGCATGTTTTGTCCAATGTTCAGCCCCTTATTTACCCCATGGGGGGGGGGGAGGTAGGTAGGTGAGCACTTATTGGGATTCTTTTAAAGTGCGTTACGTGTATGCATGTTTTGTCCAATGTTCAGCCCCTTATTCACCCCATGGCTTGTTGATAGTACCCTTTATAAAGGATTTGTAGGAGCAACTTTGTTTTTAGGGGTTGCTTAAGCTTTTCAATGGTTTTTTTTAAGGACACGCAACAATTGAATTTTAGCAAGAAATTAGTAGTCAATGCATTTCAACAACGTGAATTAAATTCTCTTAATGACTTAATGATCGATATTAGAAGACTCCTTCTATCGCTTAGTATGTTATACTACTACTAGTTTATTCGTGTCAATATTAGGATAGCTGTATTAAGTGAGTGTTTGTGACGTGGACCTGCTCGTCATTCGATTTAGGAACACTGAGGAATGTTGGGAGATTGGGTTTATTATATGAATAGAGAAGGTGAGTCAAATAGTAAATATTGGAGGGGTAGAGAGAGTGGAGGAAGGTTTGGAAATGGTGAGTGTGGGGGGAGGGGGGGCATAAACTTACCCAATCCAGCTCCGGGGCGGGGCTTCCGCTGGCCGTGCACGAGATGGCCGTGCCTTTAGTGTTGGCAAACACTACTTGGGCCGGTGGGCGGGACAACCATGTTGGACCAACCGGTCGAGGGTAGCTCATGTCTGGCAGTCCTGTGAGGGGGGAGGAAGAGCAAAAATAGTCGATGAGTTCATTTTAGTCAAGAGAGGAAAGATGAGGTGGTCATTGGAAAGCTGGGAAAGGGGGTGGGGGTGGGAGGAGGTCCAGCTTGCGGTACCATTCGAACTCCTCTAGGGACACCAAGGGATAGCGAACAGTGGGGGAATCTTCGGTTAGTCAGCGTTAGGGCGGGGAGGGTGGATCTCAAATTCGATTATTCCAGGGCACATTCGATGACATTGAAAAGTAAGGAGGCTTAAATCGTTATCGATTTGTATCGAGTTCCGTTAATGTGTTCAATAATTGCCAAGGAGAACTGATTTTTCAAGAAACGCAAATATCGGTAAATACTTTACAAATATCTTTCCAAATAAAGTTTGGGCGCCTAGGCACCCCCCCTCCCCCACACACACTTTAAAAAAAAAATAATGTATCTGGTCGGGGGTAGATGGGGGTGGCAGTACGGTATACATAGACCCCCCTCAGCCGACGCCAGGCGCCGAATACGCCGCCGAATTTTCGTCCGCTGTAAATCCGCCGAAAAATGAACGCGTCACCGTGACGTAATGTTTTTGCTTTCTTAAATTTCACGGCGTTCCGTTTTAAGGTATCAGCTATTGAGTGACAGAAACTGAATGAATGGAATGCATTCATGCACTGTAGGAGTAGGACAACATATATACTGTTGTTGTTTTTTTTCTATTGTTTGAAATAATACAACTTTTTCTGAAGTATTGTAAAAGTGTTTTATAGCTGAAGTTTTATTACTTCATTATTGGCCAGGCTTCAGCCGGATTTCAGCCGAATATTTCGTAATCAGTCGAAAATCAGCCGCAAATGTCAATTTACGGAGAAATCCGGCTAATCCGGATATCAGCCAAAAAATTATGTCAGCCAGCCGAAATGTTAAAAAAAATTCGGCTGGCAGGTCTAAGTATACATATCCTATCCAGGAAGAAACCGGCCAGCCCCACAGACAGTCTCCCCCTGGCCTAGGATTAGGATAGACTGCGCATTTCTCCACTGTCTCGCACCCGCAAGTATGATCAAGCCATCCATTCGCTAACTTCATTCACTTGTATTCGGTAGTTATACACCAACAAAATTTACGCTTTTTTTTGTTGCTTTGTTTGTATTATGTAATTGTGTTACCCACCAGAAATGCTTTCACTATTCAAGTTATCACGTCTACTTGATAGGCTTTGAGGTCACAAGGGGGTCTTTAAACCAATAAAATGTTTGCAATTTTCACGTGGCCACGTGACTATTAATCTACACGTTTGCCCGTCCCTTCATTTTCTCCCGGATCAAAGCGAATCCAGTGACGTCCCTTGTGTAATCTATGTTCTAATTCCAGGGGAAGATTTCATTATACTGGAATTTAGAGTTTATTTAGGATCAAAATGTTTGAAATGCATTGTAAACAATGTTTATTCTCCTCCTTTTTTTTCTGTTTCGTTTAGGGAAAAAAAAAAGCAATTTACTTGATTATGTGGTGTCTGTAAAGCATTCACGTGAATATATACTTCCGCAGCGACATTTTAAAATGGCCGCCACAGAAGCGCCACCTATATTTTATAGGAGATCTGAACTATAAATTTGACGTATTCCCACTTCGATGATTATTTTTTGGGTTTACAATTAACATTTCAATGTTATTGAAAATATATGCGTGCGCTAGCAAGATGGGATGATTATCTAGGCCAGTGGTTCTCAACCTTCCGAATACCGCCACCCTTTAATACAGTGCCTCTTGCTGTGGTGACCCCCAGCCATAAATTATTTTCGTTGCTACTTCATAAATAATATGTTTTCCGATGGTCTTAGGCGACCACTGTGTAAGGGTCGTTCAACCCCCAAAGGGGTCGCGAACCACAGGTGAAGAACCACTGATCTAGGCGATTATGTTAAGGTTTTCGATTATCAGTTTGTATGGGTGCTGTGGTTTTTTTTTTTTTGTGGTGTTTTTTCGTTTCAGTAATATTTTGATTCATGTGTTGGTGATTTTATACACACCATTAATTAGCACTGATCCATGTTTTGCTGTTACCAGCCAGAAGCCAACATCGTTCCACCATCTCCGACCCTGATGGCCCTACCAGTGACATGACATGGTGGCTCTGTCGATGACATTACATTGACATGACATCTCTGTCCGTGACACGACGGCGGTCCGGTTAGTGGCATGAGACGGCGGCCCTGTCGTTGACCAAACATGATGCCCGTGTCCCGTAGCGTGGCACGGCGGCCCTGTCGTTGACCAAACATGATGCCCGTGTCCCGTAGCGTGACACGGCGGCTCTGTCGGTGACATGACACGGTGGATCTGTCATTGACACGGCATGGCGGCCGTGTCGGTGGCGTGGCATGGTAATCCCTGCCAGCGCGGCAACAGATGGCGGCCCTGTCAGACGCACGACACGGCGTGGCTCTGTCAGTGACACGACGGCCGTGTGTCGGTGCCTGGACACGGTGCATGGCTTCGTCGGTGAAAAATGGCATGATGCCCCTCTCTCTCTCTCTCTCTCTCTCTCTCTCGCTCTCTCTCTCTCTCTCGGCGAGACACCGTATCGCCAACTGGAGATGGTACCGGCATCCACAGATCGATGATTGACCCCAAACGTCCACGGGTCAAATTAGCCACAGCCTGCTCGTTTGTTATTGGAGTGATCCCCCTTTGTTTCGCCGCGGTAACAAACAGAAAAAGTCATCAATAAACAATGGCTGTACGGGGCAGAGTAGCTTCCCTAATTGTTTTTTTTTTTTTTTTTTTTTTTTTTTCTTCCCCGTGTTGTTCTTTCATAAAGGGTTTT